ATATATATATATATATATATTGTGGGATAGGGCGGGTTGGGCACTGAGTACCGTATCCACACCAGCACCCACTAAATTTTACAAGTTTATACACGTTCCGTACTTATTCTTGAACTGATATTTATTTATTAAAAAATGATTGAGCCTCTGAATCTGTACGCTAAAATTCATTTCGAATGAATAAAATAATATTATAAATTATAAAATATTAAATTAAATAATTATTTTATAATAAATTTATTAAAATATATTAATATTTTAATTTTTTAGATCATGATTCGAACAAAATTTCGGACGCTGTAACAATGCTCTTATTTGTTTCACATGAAAATATTTTTGTAAATCTCTAGAGTAAGGGTCTATTTTACCTTTCCTAAAAGAGAATGTTCCTCCTTATTGAAGTGAAAGCAGGACAATAGAAACTTTAGAAGCCAATTCAGTTGTCTCAAGGAGACCCTCTATCGTTTCATTTGACTTTTGCAGGTGACCTTGTGCTCCTTAGTCCTTACCAATGCATCTATGCAACAGGCAGAAACTGTAAAAGCATATTTAATTCTCTTTCATGTAAGGTTAGGCCAAAATGTGAATAAAGAAAAAGTTAGAATTTTATTTTTACAATGAAAAATACTAATAACACATTTTCTAATATACTTTTTTTATAATTTATTGAAAAATACTAAATTTAATATATTTTACATCTTATTTAATAACTTACTCTTAAATTTATAATTTTCAATAAAGTTTAATTAATAAAAATGAATGTATATCAGTGAGGCGTTTGGGTATGAAGGTAGTGAGAATTTGGAGAAGTATTTAGGAATACCTCTTCAGCATGAGCGAGTAAATAAAGTTACTCTTCAAGGTGTGTTGGACAAAGTTAATGAAAGGTTAAGTCCTTTGGCAATTGGTAGTTGTGTGATGATCTAAACAGAGCATGTAGAAGCTTTCTACGTCTACGGGGTAATGAAGAATAGAGGAGAGTTAACACTATGGCTTGGGAGGCTATCCGTGCTCGAAAATTGAAGGTGGAATTGGCATTTGTACTTCTCCAATTCTAATTCCTTCTACATGATGGCATCTCTATGCTAGTCTACAGAAACTGTGGGTCCAAATATTAAAAGCTAAATACAACCAAATGTGTGCATATGGAATGTCTAGAGAAACATTACATTGGTAGTAGCTTTGGATACGATTTGGCGTATATGAAATGTTTTTGTATTCCAGAACATACAACCAAATGTGTGTAAAGCAATGCAGGAAATATTAGCACCATCACATGCAATTGCCAGAGTCCTTTCCTAAGACTAGCATGAATGTATACAAAATTGACATATAATATAAAATGTTTTTTCTAAGATTGTAAATTACTAAAAGGTGTTTCTCTCTCCAAATATATATTATAATATTATAATATTATAATATTTATAAAATTGTAAACTTCTAAACTAAATTTAGAATGAAAATTATGAATTCTTTATAATGTTTGAAAATATTTTTTTAAGTGAAAAACTATATGTTTATATATATATATATATATATATATTTGAGAGAAAAAAAAACTTAATATAATAATTAAAATATTAAAAAAATATTTTTATTAAAATAATAAGATAAGAATTGATGTTAAATATTTTAAATGGTCATAATATTTTAATAATTGTATATTTTTACTTTTAATTTAGACATACGATTTTAAACAATTAACATATTATTATGCATATTTAATGAATTTAACATCAAAAAATCGCAAAAAGTAAAGCAAATTAAATCACAAAAATTGATTTGATTTGATTCGAATTTCACAATTCATTCAAACAAAACTACATCACAAACACCCCTACTTAAAGATCATTTTGTGTATGCTTTCTTTGCTAAATTGGATTTCTATTTGATGATTTAAGCTAAACTTTGGGATATATAGTATAGCCTCAAGGTGATTTGCGTTAAAGGTCTTCAAGGTAATATTTTAGTAGAAATTGATTCTCCTATGACCACAAAGTTCTTAAATGATGGATGTTATCAACATCATTTTTGTTATTCCTAAGTCAATAAAGTTGTAAGCTTAGTGGATCATTTTCAAGAAATTGTTTATAATCATGTATTCAGATGAATTAATCAAGTTACGGATGCATTAACTAAATGGGAATACTTTATGATGAAAGGATTGTATCTTTTTCAAATTACTTTACTTGTTAATATTTTGACTGTATTTTTCTTTTATAATTGTTTGTTTAGGTGTTTGTAGTCCTCATGTCAAAAATAAAAAATCCCCAATTCATTATTGTTAATAAAAAAATATAATTATCTATTCAAGAAAAATGTTTTTTATTTCATATTTCTCTTGCTCTAAATAACTTTTTACTTTTTTTTTTCTAGTCACCTCTTTATCATTCTTGTCTTCAATGTTAACTTTACATTTTCTTTTTCAAAACAAGTAGTGTAAGAATAAAAAGTATATATACAGAAAAAGTATGCCTTAAGATGTACAAGTTAGGCATTACGCATTCGGATGAAGTATAGTTGAGGAGACGAACCATACTCTTTATAATTATGATGATATGATGTAGCAAAAGCCTCCAATTCTATGCAATAGTAATATGCACGATGATCTTGTGGCAGTGTTCTAGATTTTATTTAATTTAAATTATTGGTCTGATTCATTCTTTCTTTTTGGAACAAAAGTGAAGGCTCTTGTCTTGTCCAGATAGATAACATGACATGGCATGCAGCAGCAGCCAAGATATGTTGAAACAAAGGCAAGGCTCATAATTTCAAATACACGACAAACAAATTGGGCACCCCACTCACCTGTCCCCCATCAATCTCTTTCCACATCACCATTTTTTACCATTTGGCTCAACTTGATGCCATCACACATACAACAAAACCTCATTTTACCAATTACCAATTACCAATTATCTCACACACTCACTCACCACCATGCCATCTGCCTCAAACAAACACAAACCCTTTCCTCCTCTCCTCTGAATTTCCGATTGCATCCATATAATAACACCACTTGATTGTTCCAACAACCATGGAAGAATCTGAAGGAAGTGCCAGTGGTAATCACAGTTACAGTGGATCACCAATCACCAACATGGCTCAAGACTACCTCTTAACTATCCTCCTCCTCCTCCCCATAGATGCAATTCTCTCCCTATCCATGACTTGCAAGAGATTCAACGCTCTCACAAACTCTGACACACTTTGGAAATCTTTGTGCAAGAGGGACTTAGGTTCCACTTGTGTTGAGGCACTTCTCAACTCCTCCAATCACCAACATCACTTCCCATGGATGAGGCTCTACAAGCAAGTCTCTCAGATGGATTCTGTTTGTTGTCATAAACTGTCACAGCCACATGTGGATTTGGATTTCCCCACTGCCAGGGCTTCTCACTCTCTCAACTTTGTCTCTGATTGTCTAGTCTTGTTTGGTGGCGGCTGTGAAGGAGGTTTGTTACTTTCTCTTTCCATCTTCTTTTATTCCTCATGCCATCTTCAAAATTGGATTTTGTTACTGTTCACATTAAACATCATCTCATGTGTTTCCCCTAATATGGAGATAGAGAGACAAGTAGTGTATGTCCTTTCCCAGTACAAAAGGAATTGAATTGAACACAAAAATATTATTGTATGGCACTATTGGTGGAGCTTATGTTTATTATTTAAGGATGATGTGAATTCATGATTATTTAATTGTCAAGTTTGATTATCAGTGTATTTTTATCATTTGAAAGAGTTTAGTGTATATGAGCATGTCATTTGTTTATCATTAAGCATGTCAACTTGCCTAGGACACTTCAACTTGACTTTAAAGATTTGTTCATCTGGAGTCTTATAGCACCCATGAAGCTAAAACCATCTCCCTCCTTTGCTCTCTCCTCTCCCTTGATTAATTTTTTATGACTGCCTTCTAGGCTTTGCATTTTTGTGCACATCGGAAAGGTAGAGACTCCAAATGTTTGGTCTTCATGATATCTGAAACATTCAAGGGAACTAGTGTTTACATCCCTTACTAAATTATGATGAAGAAATTATGAAACAGTGTTTCATTCTATCATTAGTTTTTTTAGTAAAAGGGAAGTACCGACTAAATTTTAAGCAAACACTGTTCATAACGGGACATATTCTATTTGTTCTGTAGAGCCTCTCCTGGTTATGCACTGCAATGTTTTTAAGTATTTTTGGATAATACCAAGAACCAATTTTACCTCCCAAAATGATATCATGAAAAGGTAGAAGCAACTATTTTTAACTCTGCCTTCACCATGAAAAAATAATTGATTATTTCTCACCTTTAATCCAATCCAAACACACTATTAGAGCATCTGCAGCATGAGCAACCCATGTGCCACATTAGCTCTTTTCATTATTTAGGTGTTCAAATGGGTTACTTAAATTTTAACAAAATTATTTGTAGAAGCTCCGTTGCTTAAGAAAAAAAGAGGAAAAGAGCTGATGTGGCACAGTGGGTTGTTTATGCAGATGCTCTTAGTTTGTTTTCCTTTTATATTGTCCATTTTTAAAAGCCAAGTTCTGCCAGATAGGAGCAAGGAGACCCTTTACTACGGTATTCTGACCTGAATGCTGGTTTTTTACTTTTATCGAAAGTTTCTATTTCTCTTGACTAGGATAGTACCTTGTAATATATTTGTTCTGATAATTTTTTTTTTTTTTAATAATTGTTGTTTAGGACGACATCTTGATGACACATGGGTTGCATACATTGGCAATGATTTCCAAAGAATATTGAAATGGCAGACAGTCCATTCGGGCATTCCAAGTGGGAGGTTTGGTCATACATGCGTGGAGATGGGTGATTCTCTTGTTCTCTTTGGAGGAATCAATGACCGTGGCAACCGTCAAAACGATGCATGGTTGGGGCAAGTCATGTTCAATGAAAACAAGAGTGTAACATTTTCATGGAAAATGATTGATGTGGGGAATGTTACCCCAACCCCTAGAGGGGCTCATGCCGCATGTTGTATTGATGAGAAGAGAATGATAATCCATGGAGGTATTGGCCTTAATGGCCTCCGTTTGGGGGACACGTGGGTGTTGGAGGTGTCAGATAGTTCCTGCTTTGGCACGTGGCATGAGATTGTGACACACCCTTCACCTCCACCACGTTCAGGACACACTTTGACATGCATTGGGAGAAGCAGGACAATACTATTTGGAGGAAGAGGGTTGGGTTATGAGGTGCTAGATGATGTTTGGCTATTGGATTCATGCCAAGGTTATCCGAGATGGGTTCAAATAGTATATGATTTGCAAAGCATACCACATGGTGTTTCCCTTCCAAGAGTTGGTCACACAGCTACATTGGTTTTGGGAGGAAGGTTGCTAATTTATGGAGGAGAAGACTCATATAGACACAGGAAAAATGATTTTTGGGAGTTAGATATTAGTGCCATCCCTTGCATCACTCTGAGCTCAAAGAAAGTGCTGACAAGAATGTGGAAAAGATGGAAATCAAGTGGATATGAGGCAAATGCTCGATCCTTTCACCGAGCTTGTGTAGACCGTTCTGGGCGTTATTTGTATGTATTTGGTGGAATGGTTGATGGTTTTCTTCAGCCTGCTGAACCTTCTGGACTAAGGTTTGATGGGGAGCTCTTTCTTGTGGAGCTTGTGCTTCAGATCTAGTTAATAGGCAATGGCTCTTTCTGTAGTGTGCAGTGTCTTCAAACTACATACCATTATCTAGTATAGTGCCATTGTGTTAGATATTGTAAAATAGTAGCTGTATTGCTCAGCAGTGGCAATATCTTCTATGAACTGCGACTGCATAATTAGAAAGCAATGGTATGATTGTGAAGATTACCAAAACGTTTGCACTCTTGATTGCCATTTTAAAATTTTCATGTCACTAACTGGTTGAGTCTTGTTGGGATGGAATCCTAGTCAAGACATTAGGTTAATTTGGGCATCTTGACAAAGTTCTAACATTTTTTTTACGTTGTCCTTTTAACTTTTTATTCATGTTTCATTCAATGAAGTAGATTATGTTAATAATTGCTCAAGTATTGAATATAGTTTTTAATTCTATAAGTATCAAATTGAATTAATGAATAGTAGTATTAGCATTACTCACCGACACACTCCACTACAAACTAAAATTACAAATTTTTACACGTCACACGTAAAAAAAATTATTTAAGAAATTTTTACTTAAATAACGTGTCTTATTTAAGAAATTTTTCCTTAATTTATAATTTTTAATAAATTTTAATCAATGTGTAAAATGTGATATAACTCATATAAGTGTGTATCTAACAGTGCTCTAAATGTTTTTCTTTTTATGTACTATTACTTTAACTGCTGTTATGTGTATAATATGATTTTAAAGGAAAATCATCATGGGTATAACTTTCTGAGGGAATTTTTCAAAACTTTTTTATTATTAGATTAGAAAATTAAGATACTATTTTTCTATATTGAAAAAATTAAATTAATATCAACTTTTTATAATGTCACTAATTCACTTTCATATATATATATATATATAACCCTCAAATTTATGGGTTAGTTTGAGTTAAATGTCGCCGAATATTTAAAAACCACTTTAAACTAGATCTTAATTGAGTCAAGTAGACCTACTTCAAGAGAAATAACAACGAATGATTATTTTCGCTATTTGAAGATTCAAACACAAGAATTACAATGGTTATATATATAGAAAGATCTTGATTAAAAAAACCTTAACGGACAAACATTGGTTATATTCTTTTTCTATAGTAATAAGCCTATAAGAATTACAATTAACATAAACGAAGTTCATCTGTCAATATTTACTACAATAGATGGACACCTAAAGGCTTAATATACGTGGAAAAAAAATAAAAAGCCAATAGGTAAAAAGGTCGGTGGCAACTGTTAATGTTGAATTAAATTACAGTCATTCTCAGTGAATTACAACAACGAATATAATAATGACAAAGAATGTGCAATATCTTGGCCTCTTCACCTCTGCTTTTGGAGAGAGACTCTACTAAAAGGTTCCACAGCAATTGCTTACTCATTCAATTTTAATTTTGTTCTCCACATCTCTCCAATGACCTTTTTAGGTGACGGATCCTCAGGTCCCTTGTCTCGCTGTCCTGAAGTGAAGTACAACCATCCATTCCAAAATCCAACTAGAGTGGTTTTCACCCGGAATGGTAATTTTCCAATCACTGACCACTTCTGAGAATTAATAACAAGGGAAATAAACAATCAGTGACATCATACCATAATGCTCCTACTTGCAATTAGATCTATATTGTTGTTGCCTTCATCTACATACTACTAACTTGACTTTGGTACAGTATGTCAGCATGAATTAAAGCCATCAGACTATTCCTTCTTTCAGTTAAATATATGATGCAGAAAATCGAGGGATTTGACGGACCATAATTTATGACACGAGTTAAATAAAAGAATTAAACAAAACAGGACATTAAAAAGGAGCCAAGGCTGCAGAGCAGAAGAATCATTCGCACCAAATGTGCATAATGGTGCTGAGAAAGCCTGACTTTCCTCTCTGAATATGCCAAAATAAAAAGGCATCTGAGAACCTCTAACAATAGTAATATGCATTCAGTGGAACCATACACTTCAAAGTCCATTTTTCATTCGATTATAAGATAAGGTTTTAAAAAAACATAAAAACAAGAATACTCAATCTTATAATATATAATTTACGGTCTTACTTCTGCTATTCAATCTTGACACTAGGGAAAATAAGCAGGTAGAAAAGATTATGACCTTGGCATTAAGAAATGGTAAGACAGGAGTTTAGTCAAATCCCATCCATGTTTAAGTGAGTGGAGGGTGACACGAGAAAATCACTAAAATAGAGTATCTATTTGCACTGCCACATATAAATGGTAATATGTGTATGAGAAATGTATATAATGATTGAATATGAAAAAATATGCAGAAATGCAGATTAGTTTCCTTAGTGCTTTGAAAAAGAGAAATCATTACCAGTGTATTCAGGTTAAACTGGACTACTTCTCCATTTAAAATCATCTTCTTGGTTACGGGGTGCTTCTCTGTTGTGCCTCCAACAATGACAATGGAGTTGTTTACAAGCGCCCAAGCAAATTCAATATGGGAGTTTGGTTTTGGCATTGGAGGTAGCATTTTCCACTTCATATCATCATCCAACATGTATACATCAGTATAGACCACCTGACAGGCAATAAACAATCAGTCAAAGTGTCAAACCATGACAAAGTATCGTAGAACACAATTTAGCATCAATAAAAATTACGAGTTTAATCATGTACTATCAAATATCAATTCAATTTAGACAAAGGAAGTAAAACACTGGCACAAAAAAACACACAATCTTTGCCTCATTGAATTGATATCAAGGAGAAGAAAACCTGGGTTGTTCATAATTTGAGCAAATAAGACAAGAATAATAACAATTTTATCCATGGCTTACCTCTAGCCTGCGTGAGCACTTAAAAATAGGTGACCCGGGTTTTGCCATAAAATCACCTTCTTGACCACCAATAACATAAAGACGGTCATCAACCACAACACATGCCCTAAAAGAAGATATTAATAAGTAATAAATTGCAGGTAACTTATAAACATAAGAAAATGCATTTCGATAAACCTAGATTAGTATTGTGTTTGAAACCTAAAGATTTGAAAAACTGATCACATTTAATTCTTGAATACAACAAAGTTAAATGAATCATAAGGGATAAAAGAACATTTTGAAAAATGATAATGCAAGAAAAGACGAGAAAACAAAATAAGCTTCCATGTTGACACACCACACTTCAATCCTAAAGGACACAAAATTAGGAGTATAAAATCCAATTGGGAAGTTAAAATGATTGGAGGGTAAAAGAAGGAAGCAATGAAGTTTTTATATTCTCAAAGGCTACCCGTGAAACCAAAATGGTTCAAAATTATGAAGATATGGCTTTCCTAGAAATGCAAAATAAATAGTTACTTGAAAAACATATAGATAACAATAGTAGTAAAACACACTGGTTTGAGAAAGAAATACAATAATTTAATGGGTATAATATAACAAAACTCAATAGCCAATACTTAATAGCACTATGTATAACGAAGTAGTACACTGGCACTCATTAGCTCAATCAAACAAATTGGGTATCAGTCAGTTCACAAACCTGTGAGGTCCTCCACGGGGAATAGGTATCTCACTCCTCCACTCCTGTTCTAAAGCTTTTCCGTCCTTAACAGCAAGACTCCAGTGTTCTAATCCAGGTGTATGCCGATTCTCCTTACTGCCACCCATCACATGCAGTCTACCCCTCCAAAGTTGAGTTGCTGGTGCATATCTGAATATAATATTGTCAGAACCTTCCACCCAAAACAATTGTCAAAACTACTTTAATTCAGTTTTCGCTAATCAATTGTTATTGTTATTTTACATAATAAATTACTAATATAAGTATAAATATATTATTATAAATAATGGATTTGGACCTAACTCAACCCTACAAAATCAGCTTGTAAGGTAAGAGTTGTCCCCCACTCATATACTTTTTAAATGCCTAATCTCTAGTTAATGTGAGATTTGAGTTTTTCCCAATACCCTGCCTCATGTCCAGCACTATTGGGTTTGGTATGTGGATAAATAGTGGGTGACCCTTTTTAATGATATATGATGGGCAAGACTTGAATTTTTCCCCAATATACTCCCTCATGTCCAATACTATTAGACTTGGTGTGTATATTAATGGTGAGTGACCCTTTTAGGGTAGATCTAGATAACTCTAATACTATTTTAGAATAGTTGATTTGGGTCTAATTCAACCCTACAAGACCGACTTATAAGATGAGAATTGTCCTCTACTTATATATTCTTTAATTGTCTTATCTTGACTTTTTCCCAATAGAGCCTATCTATTCACTTAACTACTCATGTTATAAATGTATAAATTCCACTCCTCTATCTTTTTCCCAATCTTCTGCAGTGCTATCGTTAATATGCTTATTACATCTTGCACACTCAACTTTCCAATTCCATTAGTTGAAGGCAGTTTTGGTGAACAGAGATGAGATGAACTGTTCAAACACCTCTGCACATCCTGGTTCTCTAGCATCTATTGTCTGTGACAAAAACTTGTGCAGATAGTGCAGCCAGAAACCAAGAAAGAAGATGGAAATAAGAAAGTTTGATCGAATCATTCCCCTTCCCTTTGAATCTGTTGTTTATATTTCATGTTAACAATCACAGCATTCTTCATTCTCTTCTATTCATTTTATTTTTCTTGAACAGGATTGGATGTAAAGCAACTATAAGCTCCCACTATGTGCAGGATCCAGTTAAGTTGCAGGTCCACAATGATTTCATTTTTCAAGAACACTAATGTTTGAATAAACTACTTCATAAGCACTCATGGGAGAAGAAAATTGAATTGAGTCACTTCAATAAACTAAAATTATCTCCTTGAGAAGTTAGGTTAGATAACTTCTACAAAAGTTAAGTGCAAAGTTGATTGGAGCTTACAAGAGAAGCTCAACTCACTGTTTATCAAAACAGAGCCAACCTAAAAGATGCCAGGAAACTGACTAATGACTGTCAAAATAGTAGCATACTGTCTTTATCAACGTGAAATCTAAGGTAGATCATCTAGCACTGGATAGAATGAATACCTTCACCACTCCCTCAAGCAAAATAATGAGGAAAGGGGGAAAATATAAAGAGGAAAGGTATAACAACAATAACACCTATTATGATATTACATGTAAGTTTTATTCAAGATATAAATACTTTGCTGCAGCATGTTAATTGCAAAGGAAGATTAATTGGAGGAGCAAAAACAAACCTAGGAACCGGCAAAGGAGGTAGATCCCGCCATTGCTTAGTTTCAGTGTCGAGCACGAACGTGCGAGCAGTAGGACCTCTGCACTGTGGTCCGTACTGTCCAGTGACCACGTAAATGTATCTTCCATCGGTCACCATTCCCAAATGCGAATGCGCCATCTCTTTCGGCATGTCGAATCTTCCTCCCCATGTATTATCGGTAAAATTATACACATCAACGTGAGAATGCACCTGCAAACACAGATTTCACATTAAAGGAGGAACAGTATCGCAAATACGATAATCGAGATCGAAAGCGAAAGGCGCAGTTACAAGATCGATTGTGCCGTAACCGGCGAACACGAAGAGAAGATTCCGAATCTGAATGGCGGCTCCGTCGAGGCGGGGGACGGGAGCAGGAGCCATCTTGTGCCAGTGGAGTTGCGGCGCGTCCAAATCGGCGTAAGCCGCCGAGAGGAATCTTCCGGAAGAAGCATTTTTATTGGTATCGTCGTTTTTGTTCTTCTTGTTTTCCTTCTCCCTGGGAAGAACTAATGTGGCGGGCTTGGAGGTGAGAGTAGAAGACGAAGAAGCCCATAGAAAGTCCGCAACCAGAGCGAAGCCCAGAAGCCCAACGCAGATGACCACAAATTTGGCGGAACCGACCTTCACCGACGCCCGAACCATGCCCGGTAACTTTAATCTTCAATCACTCATCAATCAGCTATACTTCTACTTTGCTTTGCCATTACCATTACGCGTCTTCCTTCGCCCCTTGTTTTTAAATAATCCACTTCATGCGTCCTTCAAGCTTTCTTATTATTCTTTTTTCTTTCTGAAAAGTAATTATTTTATTAATTAGGTTAGATTATACTTTTTTTTATCATTTATTTCAATTTTTATTTTTAATTATTCTAAAATAGTCATCGTTTTGAGTTTTATTCTTAACAGCTAAATCTAATAATAATATTAATTCTCAATTTTGAATAATTTATGAACTCTGATGCATATTTTTTAAGGGAAAAAAAAAACAGTTGAATTTCTTTTATATTTTCATATACTTTTCATGACTTTTTTTATATGCTTTTCATGACTAATAATATTCCATATAAAAATCATAATCAAGTTTTTTTTATTAGATAAAGTCACTTACCTGAATCAAACTATATCGTTAATCCATGATATTTTATGGACCCAAAAAAATCCATGATATTTTATTATAAACCATATCTATAGACTAAACACTTATCCCTAAATCTTTCTCAAACAATCTTATATACATAAATGAAAGAAAATCCCAATGATATAAGATCACTACCATTACATAATCATGGAACATCACTCTATAAATCATAATCCATATACTGGTATTACTTTTTCAGAGTTAATCTTTTCTTCTTTTTACGGTAATGACAGTAAAGTTTAAACTCATGACGTCATCGAAACTATGAACCCCTCACCACTAATTCAATGTTAGGACTTCAAAACAAAAGGCTTTCTTTTACTGTACATTTTATCCAGATTTCCTAAGCATCGTAACTCTTTAGGAGATCACGTCACAGGTTTTTGAATGTCCCAGAAGGCATTAGGAAATAAGTTTATACGTGCATAAAATTTGGCTGGTGAATTTCATGTGTATAGGATGGGATTTGAGACAATGAGGTTGAAATGAGATTGAGAAATCGATGAGTTATACCATTAATTTTGTTTACAGTTTATAACCTCAATCATGATTTGAGGAGGGAAAACTGTTATAAAAGACAAACTTCTGCCTATGGCATGATTTAGGGTCTTTCCAAATGGGTAACTAATAAACAAGTATATATTTGTCTCGACTAGGTCGAGCTAAATTCTGTGCATAAAGAAAAGATTTGCAAACACAAGAAAGCTTGTTTTCTATTTAGCATGTTAGCATAATCACAATATGCTCGTACAGGTAAGAATTTGACTGCACCAAACATTACCAAAGTTTACAAGTCCTAGAAGAACATCAAAGCAACGAGAGAACTATACAACAAATTTAAAGAAGAAAAATAACGAGCGCGCACACACAACTTTGCCACCTTAATCTATAATAATCTGTCAATATGATATTCCACCACCACTAATAATAGAGGGGAAAAGAATACTATCTAAGAACGCCAATGATGCTAAAAGCATTCTCATTGCAGATCCTGTTAAACTGGTATCACATCATTCTTTGATGCATCTTCACATCTTAAAACTATACCCTCAAGGCTAGCTGGAAAAATACATTTGGTCCATTGGCAACCCGTAGTGATTGGATCTGGCGGTGGAACGATCATAAGCACATTCTCATTCCTCTGAACAACCCCCATTACACTTACCGTGCTTCCTTCTTTTATGTACCTGAATATTAATACCAAGTTATATTACCACTCTTAAATCAAGATCCAGCATCAGATATAAATTAAGGAATCTTGAAGAGCATGCACCCGGATGACTACACTAAAACTGAAAACTCATAACTACGTTGCTAAATGTAATAAAATCAACAGGTTAAACAATTTGAACCGCTTATGTATACAAATTTTAGTTCACTTATTCCAATGCACGATGAACGTGAATCTCACTCTCACAAAGGATTTGTGTTCAACTGAAATTCAAACACAACTAGTCATGCTAGTCTAGTAGGGATAAACCCCACATCAAACTGACCCTCAATGCACCCCCATCCAGAGACAAATCAGGTTAGTATATTCAAAATGATCAAAATGAAGGAAAGCAGGATATAAATTTTACCCTTCTTGCAGCCGCATGATGCGGTTATCACTTGAAAGATTTCTCTCTCCCAACCACCGGATAAACTCTGGTGACAGCTCTTCTTTGTTTGCATTTACATTGATGAGAACTGAATCATCAACATAAGGGGTAACTCTTGCTCCATGCCCAGTCTTAACCAATGCCCTTAAACCAGACTGGAAATCTGAGATGTAGAAGTCAACCAAGCGCCTCTGTCACATTACATATATTCCTGTCAATCAAGTGAAAAAGAAGTCCCTAAATGTAGACTCCCCATGGGGCCTTCTTTAGTGGTGGGTACTTTCTTGAACCCAAAACATAAATAGGTCAAATTAACATAAAATGCCATCAAAAGGCTTGACAAGAAACATCCAAGGTCTCAATACAAGGGGTCGCAATTGCTTCCATTCTCCATTAATCATCCAATATGTTCATGCATAAATTCAACCAATTCTCCCAATCATGAGAATAAAATATGATGGATTTATCCCTACCCATGCTCATTACATGTTCTTCTGAAAACAGCCCTCATATAGAGAGGAACTTCAGAGAAATAATTTATGTAGACAAGGAAGTTTATATATGTATATGGATGGAAAATCCATCCGTGAAAAATTATTAATGGATAGGTTGGATTTTTTTAAAGAAGTTATGGATGGATTGGATTTTTAATGGATCATGAATGGACTTGATATTTATTTCTAACCCTCATTCCTTCCACCGAGCATGATAGTATAATTAATTAATTCTAATCAATAAATTGAACTTGAAACTTTATCAGAGGGAGCATGTGCTTCACTGCCATGCTTCTGAAGATGTCAGAGTATTAAATTCAATAATAAATAACAGTTAAAAACTTAGTAACTCACTTCCAGCAATCTAAGGCCCCAAGTAAATCGCCGGTGTGTAGGATTGGCAGCATTTGAATCCCATCCTCGATACTCATATAAACTTGTTGACGTATATACACATCTGGGGACTTTCTGGAAAGATGACTCAAGAGGCACATTACCGCAGGTAACAACCTTCATATATCACAGCAAAAATATTTGATTAAGTCATTTGAGCTTGTATTGTAGTAATAAAAGGGATGTGAGGAATGAAAACCAACCAAGTACAAGCTTCTCATTCACATAGTTAGATGTTTATGGGAGATTAGTCTGGGAAGACACTGATATTAAGACATGAATATAGTAGTGAACTAGTGATACCGATACAGCAAAATGTTTATATAGCATGAAAACAAGGAAGATGAAACAAAATGCTCTCATGTAAGTATCATCCAAAGCTCATTCAATGAAAATAACATTATTTCAAACAGATATAAAGACCAAATTAAAGGCTTCCCATCCATGATAAATTTTTCCACCAATTTTCGTATTTTCTTATGCTTACAATGATATCATGTCTTGAAAAAAATTAAAACAATGAAATTTCAATATTAAACAGACTCATTCATTTTGAATTTTAAACCATACAGAAATATTTATTTGAGAAAGCACCCAATACATATCCAAGCCTTACCAGTTTACATACCTAATATAGGTAAGGCTATTTACTAGAAGTAACATGCAATTTTTTTATAAATAATATTGACGAAACTTAGGGTTCACATCAAAGATGCTTGAAGATTTTCAACCTTTCCATTGTGTGAAATAAAAACGACATTATTGAAAAGCTCCAGTAAATTACAAGATAAGCCCAAAATACTTCTAAATCAGGTGAAGAATAATTTATTAAAAAAAAGAGCAAAATCAGACTGATGCACATACAGGTGAATAAGAACATTCAGAATTAGTACAGTATGATTTGATGTAGAGAATATAATTATAAGCCCAAGAAGTAAAAATGGACTTTCCAAGAATAGCCAATAAATGAGGCAAGAGAAGCAAAACATACCCCAGAGACCTTCACGAATTGCCCATTTTTTGCAGTTCTAAGCTCAGAGTCCGGATAACGAGCAACAAATCCCATAATAGCTCTTCTTCCCCAATAAGTATTCCAAGTGAAAGATGCAGCAACTAAGCCAAAAAGAACCACAACTACAATAAGGAGAATGGCATTGTGCACTGCTCCAAGAATAAAACCACCAGCAATGAAACCCATCACAAAAAGCAGAATTAATAACCATAATATCGCCCTTGGAAAATTCCCTCTGAAGGAATACTCATCACCTTGACTAAGAACAGTCACAGCTTGGTTGTGAACAGCTGCAGAACCTTGCAGCTTCATTGAACCTGTCGCTTCCAAAGGACCTGACACTTTCCGTGGGGCTCCGGAAGAATTTAGTGGGCCAGATGATATGGGCCCTGATGTAATGAGACCTGTTGTAGGAAGAACAGGAGCAAGAGGTCCAGAATTTTGACGCCCAACTGGTGTAACTCCACCAGACTGAGGACCAGAAGACTTTTTAACAGGTTCCCCATGCTTATTCAGTGGCCCGGAATTTGATTTCTTTAGGGAAGCTGAACCAGAAGACATTGGACCTGAAGTAGTATAGACAGCCCGGGCGGCAGCATTAGGCTGGATCGGTCCAGAATGTGAGCCAGCTCCTCCAAAAGATCCTGTCCGTGAAGGAGCACCTAATATTGGTCCAGATTTCCTAGATTTGGAGCCATCAACAGGAATATCAAACATTTTCCCCAATTCTCCTGACTTTTTGATGTCTCCACCAGTATATGGCATGGCTGTTGAGGTCATTGTTGGAGTCCTTTCTTTCGGCTGCTCTGGCCGCCCTGATACGTAGAGGCCATTGCTAAGTTGATGAGATGGGATTCTAGAACCCATCTACCTTTTGTTAAACACTTGAGAACTCAGACAATAGCAGTACCAGAAGTTGATGCTGAACAGGTCAAACTGTCAAAGTGATCCTGAAAGTTGCAAAAATGAAATTCCCAAAGGGATTGGAATTATTGTTCAACCAAAATTGGTAGCTTGCAATAAACTTCTGTGTCTCCTAATGGAAGGACGAAAGGTACTGGAAAGGTCAATAAAGGTTACGTATAGTAATGAGAGCACAAATAAAGTTTACAACAAAGTTAGCAGCATCTAAGATCCTTAGTTGGCATCAATCTTATACGGATCGCCAATCACGGCCTTGGGAACATACATGTCAAGTTTAACA